GGTTGGTGGCTGGGTAGGTCCTTGCTACGGCATTAGAAAGTCCCCCTTCAGGAGATCGAATGGAGTACCTCCCAAAAGAGAAAGATAGGTAAACACATCATGTTACGAAACCGTTATTGCGGGATTAATGCATTCACGGTTCATGGCATGCTTTCTGATGAAACGTTCAAGGCAATTATTTGAAAGAATTGTTTTCACAACTCGGTACTTCCCACCCTGTAGTGTTTTCGCAATACAAATATTTGTGGCCCGGTAATACAATCAACGCACTAAGTTGGGCCTGTACTTAAGAGGGAAAATCTGGAAAAGTGTGTGTACTGCTCAACCCATGTAACACTGCGGAAGGCACTACGCATACGTTATCCGTTCTCGAGTTATGCTAACAAAACATTTAGAAAAGCCAGCTTATCTTTATTTTCCAATCCATTAGTGAACTTACTTGTGGGATGTGCACTTCGAACTGGTTGAGCACACGGTTGATTTCAGTGCGTGAATCAAAGATGATGAAAATATCATGCGTTTACCTCCAAGAAACTTCATTTGAGGCAATAACCGCTTGGATGGGGAAGTAGACGTCCAAGTGGAACCCAATCGCCACGCTATCGATTTTCCTGTAATAGATCCCTTTAAACAAGAATTACCTGGTAATGGTACACTGCAAAATTAACTCTTTGAGCTTAGGCACTGGAGGGCCAACGTATAGATTCCTTTTGGTTATATAGTCGCAGATGAAATTAACAGTTTCCAGCAATGGAAGGTTTGTAAAAAGAGATTCTGCATCAGATGAAATCGTCAGTTAAAAATGTAACTTCATGTATTTAACCTTATAAGCGAATTCGTAGCAATCTTTCAACGAATAACTAGAGAGTTCCTTTCGAACAAGTTCCAATAATTGCACAATGCATTTCTCAACCATGTGGTGTGCAGAAGCTTACATATCAATTACTGGACGTAGAGGGACTTGTGACTTGGGTGCTTTATGCAACCCGTAGAGTCGAGGGGGTTGGCAGTCAACAGAAGTTCATTGCTGCAGGTTAACTAAGGGTTTCCAAGTTGATCTATTTTAATTATTTCAATATCTTTGAAATCGTTGTTTCATTGTCTGCCATTGTGACTTGCTGGATTGTATTATCCAAGAATTTGCCCGTGTGTTGCAAGGTAACTTCCAATTTTGAAATGTAATCTGATTTGAAAAGCACGGAAAGAAGACGAAGGCTGGTAGGTGCATGCATTTCGCGTTGTCTCCTCAATACCTAGAAAGTTGAACGGCTTGTTTATAGAAGCCTAATTTAAGAATATTTTAACCAGTTCAAGGAGCTCCAAAAAACTGACCTTGATAAGATTATTTCGTTTAGAAACAAGTTACCTGTTATCACGCTTGAGGTGAATACCATGCCACTTAATGAAAAAGTGTCAGTACAGCTCGTCATTTGTATGCCTTACGACCTAAGAACGTAGTCGTAATGAAACCACGTAAATGTTCGGGTATGGAGCTCATGAATAAAACGGAATGCAATGAAATGTGCGCCAAAATCATCGATGCGAGTAAATTCGAATTGCTCACAAAAATGTGTTTGAAGCCGACTGGCAGCCCTATTTCAAAGTTGTATTTGCCCCCAAAGACCCATAAAACTGAAGTACCACTCAGCTCAATGCTAGCAATAATGAACGCGCCCAGACATAAGCTCGCCCGTTGGTTAATGCAGTTACTATCTCCGCTGGAAAAACAGTAAATCCTTACAGTCTTAAATACTTGTTTCAACTCATCGACGACATGGATGAACGCAGCCTGTCAGAAAAAGTCATATGTTGCTATTTGTAGAATGCTTATTTAACAACGTCCCGCTACATCTGACCATTGACTATGTGCACGAATTAGCTGAAAACAGTGGCTGCTCACTAGCAATTTCCACTGAATTGCTAAGAGAATCTCTACTATTACGCAGAGAGTATGTGAGTTTTCCATTCCAGTATACGCCATACCCTCAAATTGACTACGTAGAACTGGGTAGACACTTAGGTTCTCCGCTCGCTGATTTATTCATGCTGATGGTATGTAGAAGCCTTTCGACGGAAATATATTAGGTGCCCTACTTTAAACCGGATTTCCCTTCGTCTGAGAAGCAGCTCACGCATTTGGTAAAAAGGCTCAATGTAATCATGCTAACTTATGTGTTACATGCGAAGAAGCACCAAGCAATTAACTGTCATACCTGGATATATTATTTGTCGCAGGGTTGATGGATTGTTTAAAGGGTTCACTTACCAAAAATAAACTGGCTCCGCTCAGTACCTTCAATTCACCTGCTTCACACCAGTGCGAAACAAATGGAAACTTTTGAAGACTCTAGTTTGTCGTGCCAGATGAAATTTTACGGCCGACTATCTGGAAGATTAGCTAGTGTTAATTACAGCAACACCAATATCGAACCGGCGCTCGCGAAGATTTATCGAGAAACAACAAAGCCCGAGTATCAAAAACTTGTTACTCACGACGGCCAAGATAAAAGTGTATATCGGGTTACCTTTCAAAAGGTACTTAGATAAATACAACTAAGCGTATAATTACTACTACACAAGGAAGTTAGTATACTGCACAACTTGTTGTCATCAACTGAACCCAAACATTTCCCATATATTCAAGGAAGGAATCTCAGCCTCACTGCGTAAACCAACTTGTATGTGATTGCGGAAACAATTACATTGGCATAACTTATAGAACGCTTGCCTCCCGAACAAAGGAACGTGTACCATCGGTTCATCGCGAAGTTGCTCAGGTTGCCTTTCCTCATCAGATTCCATGTTAGCGCAGACCGCCGACTTACTCAATAAGCAAACACCTATTAGACTGAGGACACCGGTTAGAGCGGGGCTCATTGTTGAAACCTGTGTTACGTCAAAATAATTTCCGCTTCATTCGGTTTGTTGAGGCTGTCGCTATTAGCCGGATTTAGCCAAGCCTGTGTGTTCGTAAGCCACTATTTTGTCAGCCTAAATTTGCCTTGGATTTAGGTGTGAACTTTCTTCATTCGTTGTGCCTCTTAAGGATGTCTGGATGCATCCACGGTTAGCTATATCTATGCAGATCGGTTATTTTTAATGGTACTGAGAAGACAATACGAAACGCAATACATTTACCAGCGTTAATCGGCTTTCCGTGCTAAAATTGTTAAAGCAAACTAACTGCTTTAAGTAATCTGATTTGTCTATTAGCACCTATCCTGATCCTATATCAGATCTAGTGTAGTACCTTGCGAAATCCTTGTTCAGCTAGCGCAACCAGTTTTGTTAAGGTGTCGCAGCGTGTTATGTTGAGCGTTAGTTCAGTGTGTTCCACCGGAGCTTTAACGTGACAAATGAAGTTTTTAGCATGTCAACATGAATGTTCAGCGTTAATAGAGTATCTTTATAGTCTAGGAAGCATGCTTTTCTGCATTGTACGAATGATGACTAGTACCGATAGTTTGCTTTCAGTTCTCTGCCTTGTGGGTTTGGTAATGTGAATGTAAAATAACATGCCTATGGTTCGGTTCGTCAAAAGTGTAAATTTGTCCGTCAATAGCCTTCTCCAATATCATTGTTGGGTTGACTCTGCGGTGGACTTCAGCATATTAGATGGAGAGGCGGTTGCTCACTGTATGCAGCTAGCTTCACCCGACTAGGGTGCTAATTTCACTTAAAATATTCAGACGCTATTACAACCGGGCACATGGCGACCGAATAAGCTGCGGTATTTTGCTAAGGTGCATAAATAAAAGAGTGTATTTTGGCATCGTATCTTGGTGTATGCCGTCAGTAGTGGAATAGCAGTCAGTTACATGACCACCCACTTTTGTTGTAACTTTGTCAAACAAAACGGCAAAGATTAATTTGTGCATTAATCCATCGACGCAATAAACTCCTCGTTTAGAATAGGACGCCATGATTTGCCTAGTGAATCCATCTATTAAGATCAATATTTATTAATTTAACAGACCTCAACTAATTCACTGCAACCACTTTTGTCTCGTCGTCTGCAGCTGGGTAAGGCATCCGTGGATCAGCATAAAGCCATGCTGCGCTGGCCTTGCTCCTTCCTTTTATTTGAGCAGCAGTATTAGACAAGTATTTACCATCTTTCCGGTATTCTTGTCCAAATAAATGACCGACGAATTGTTTTGTGTTTGTATAATTTGCTTGGGTTCTTTAGGTTTGGGTTTGCGTTTAATATTAAGCATTGGTTTTTGTTAGAAAATATACTTTAGGGCATTAGTTTAGTCACAGGATAAGTCACAGCGGATAAGAGTATGGCTAGTAGGATAGTGCGAATCATTGAGTAGATAAGGGCGCGCCTGCATGCTTGGTGACATCAAGTTTGGATATTAGTTGACGCAAATATTAACGCTGTATTCCGGAATGTCGAGCTTGTTAGGCGGGGTACTTTTAGACCCGGAAGAGAAAACCGATTTCGGATACTTGTAATTGAAGCAGAAATTGTAGAAAAATTGTGGAATAAATTGTACTTTAATTACTTTAGAAGTTATGAGCGATAGTCAAATCAACATATAACTAGAGGCGCTGATACTACGACTGCATATTTTGCCATAAGTCCCTAACAACAACTTAGTACCTGTGCTTAGCTTGTTAACTATTGGCGAAATTACTATGATGCAGCATAGAAGGTCACTATTTATTACCATCATATTCTGTTGGTTAGAAAAAACCGCGGTTGCAACAAGTTAGAAATGAAAGTATTAATTTAATGGATATGTGGGACTCTGTGAAAATGTTTTAAGAACGGACTAAATGTTAATATCCACAGACAATCAGGGGGAATTGAGGAGGCAGCGTGGTCTTATTATTTGTTTCGTCTAAGGTTTTTCCCAGTCCAGTAGACCAGATACTTCAAAACAACCATGTCAATGCACATTATATACAGGACAACCTATTACAATAACAACATGTGATATATAAATTCCCCATTCTTAACAACTCATTCGTTGTAAAACTCATATTTAAGTTTTAGGGAAAAAACACAACATTAAAATATACACATTATCCTCATTTAGCCCCAACATAAGGAATGGCTCCGCCGATGCGTACTGATGAAGTCGCTTGTTTGTTAAGCTCTTCTAAATCTACACGCTCCTGCTCTGTAATCGTGGGTCTGTCGTCTCTGAATTCATGAACTGCGTCTAATCTGGTAGATTTGCTTCGGTTCCGTTGATGAATTCTCCTTATTATTTTAGATCGAGGGAGAAAGGGCAGTAAGCGAAAAAGCCCGTTTCTAAACCTGAGAATAACACAAAATAAAGTTAAACATGTCAGATTCTGCGAGTAAAAAAGCAAAATTACTTTTTGTGAATTGGTTAATCGTTGCAACTGGAGTGTTAAATGTAATCAGTTGTGCAATATATAAAATAGTTTCAATGTGGTTGATTGTATCCACTAAACCCTCAAGCTTTTGATCGACGAAACATTCAGCATGTAAGCGCACAATGCCTTTGACTATATCCAATAAGGTAAATGAAAAAAACAAGATGGAAAATCATATGACGTAATTTGTGAGATGGCTCAGTAATTTTGCATGAAACGTCTACACAATATTTCCTACTCAAATCTGCATACAAAACATATGATCACCTGAGGTCCACGGCTAGCCAAATCCTGGCCAATCAGTTTCCACTATTGCTACTGCATTTTATTAGGATCCTTAGGGCTGGCAACTGACTAATAGGGAAAGAAGGCTGTATCGCACTCTTGTAATCATTGTATTGAGCCTGCTTGTGGATTCGAACGAAAGAACATTAAGTTTAATACTCAAGTGTCTTGTGTTGGTTGTGTGGAATCAAGTGTCAATACGGCATTTCGACTTATTGCAGCCATACTTTCAAACTCGCAGTCAGCTGCATTACACGCAAATCAGCTGTATTTATTAATCGATTGCAAAATGCTGTGCCAATCTGATAATTGTGAGCTGCCGTGTGTGCATCAAGACGAAAATTTATTTCTCATGACCGACACTGTGACCAAGATGCAGTCTGTGCTATGCTGAAGCAGCTACAGCAAATCATCCTAGTATTCCGATGCCCCATCAGTTATTGCATACGCATTCATAAAATGTCTGGAACATGATCATTGCTACGAAGGCCTAAATTTAGATCAGTGCGCATAACACAGACATTTTATTTATACGTATATAATTGTGTAACCATTTGGACTTTAAATTTTCCTTTTCCTTTATGGATCAGAAACTTATATTTTGCAAGAAAATCAAGCCGTCTTTAAGCGGGTTGTATATTATGTTAAATAATAAAATAATAAGTTTATTAAGCATGTAATTAGTGCAAAAATTTAAATTTATATTTGTGTCGAATGTCCGATTCTTTTGGTCTGTAAGTGCGTGACTTATCTTGGCTTTACCCATAAAGAATTTTAGTAACAACAACAATAAGTTTTCATATGTGATTGCCGAAAATGTAGGAACGAATAAAGATATCAAACCGTTCTCTTATTTTCTTTCTTAGATATGCATAGTACTTAATTTACGTACATTTCTGGGTGCTACTGATACCAGTACATTTGTGTAAAATTGTTTTAGATTTGCGCGTACATTCATAAATAATTATATAGTTTTCTTTGAATAATTTTACATTTAAACATTTTGACGATTCGCCTGGAAAGTCTTCGCTTGCCATAATTAGTGACAGTGTAGGTGCGTTTACTAAGAAATCAGCCAAAGTGGTTATACGTTTTGGAGAAGATATTAGACATTTATAAATGCAGAATAACAATTTACTCGAAAATGTGTCCAACCTATCGAGTAATGCGACCTTACAACTTCAGAATTTTTAGAAAACGAAGGTAATTGCATCGAACTAAGATACACACTTAAGTTATGTGTAACAAAGTCCATGCTGATGTCCACATTGTTAGTATGCTTTAGACTAAGCATCATCTAGCACCTATTTTGTACTCGAATGGCAAAATCGTAATCGTGATAAAGAACATGAATTTTTGCACTGATTGTTAAAAGGTCATATTCGTCATTCATTAACGTAATACTGTTGGTATTAGAAGGCGACCGACAAGGCGTAACATGCGTAAATTACACATTTTTGGTTATTAGTCATTAGGTGGTTTCTTTTAATTGTAAGAACTTAAAACAACAGCCATTAGCACCTATGAAACTCTTAATAACTGAGTTCACATTAGGATTATTTTAAATTTATATATAGCATATTACGTTGTTGTTGGTGATTGCTAAAATCTAGGATTATATTTCAAGCCAACAACGCCCTTCCTTCCGGTTCATGGATAAATGTAGCGGAATTGCGTACGGATCTGCTAATAAAAAGTCCTTAATCAACATGGTATTTTTCAAATGTTTGCACCTTCAACAAAGAATTACATATGTTTATATTAAAAATATTTAGCGAAGGATTTAAAGTTATGTAGGGTAGGATAAATAATTTAAAATCGGGCAATTAAGTAATTATATTTATATCCTCTAATCGCCTGTGTAATTAATGCAACTTTAATTGTTGTAAGTTTTGTAATTTAACGATATTCCTAATTTATACCTTGGTAACGACAAGTATCGATTTTAAATATTCTCCAAAAGCTTAGCAACATATTTTTTTAAAATTTCCTCAAGCTTCTTACTAACTTACAATTGACTAACATTGCCAATCTTTATAAGCGATACTTTATTATAAACAGTAGCTTGTGTTTTACACATTAAGAGCAATTTAAACCACGTTGCTCAAAAGTGTGCCCGTAGACCAAATGTAAGGTCCTTTTAATGCCAGCGTCTTTACAAAATTTTACAAGTATGACTTACATATTGTTTATAATGATGTCCATAATACATATCCGCTAATTTAATATGAAAAGTGAGCAGTAATTTTTTAGTAAATGTGGATGTTGGTGAGTAGTGTAAAGTTCCTAGAAAGTAGAAGTCACGATTAACATTCATACACAGTAATCTGCCTCCACGGGGAATCGTACACCGGTACACGAATTTCCGATCTGCTGCTCTACCACTGAGCTCAGTGTTACAGCAACGGACCGGAAATTCGTGGACCGGGGTTTCATTCCCCGTCGCGGCACATTATTGTGTGTGAATAATCTGTATCTTTAGACAAGAGCAAGAATGAAAGTTTAGGTTTAGTAAAGCGCCAACTTAAAATGATAGAAGTATTGTCACGTAAGAACCGTTAGCTTAGTAGGTATTAACAGGTCAATGGAAAATCACAAATATCAATTCGATCAAGTCACAATTCAGGAGGCTAAGACATGGTGACCACAGTCGAAAATATAGGGTGGCTGTTTAACCGTTGCATCCCGAGCCTTTCGTGCGCGACCACTGGGCACTCTCACACTACGACCTAAAGTGCGTGGACAACACGAATAGGCTTTACCAAAACAGCCATTGTATGTTTTGGGCGCCCAGGCGCAGTTACTGCACTTGGTCCAAGGGAATTCCACTGGCCTCTCCGTCTCAATAATAAGATCAATGCTAGAGTATGACTCTCTGCGTATTGTCATATCACCCAGGGGTGAGGTAGAAAAGATTGAGCGAGTGCTGCATGCAGCCACCAGGAAGATTCTCCACCTACGAAGTGTGCAGTAGGAAGACCGGTGTAAGAAACTAGGGTTCTACTCTCTCGCTTATCGTCGACTGCGCGTTGCCCCCAACATGTTGCACCGGATATTACAAATGGTGATTACCGTTGTTGAGACCATTGCTTTGTCTGCGCACACCAAGCAGCGCAAGAAAACACAGGTACAAGCATGCCGTACCGGATATAAAGCAGCTGACTCACCAACTCTGTTTCGAACGCAAAGTGGTGAATGTATAGCACGACCTGCCGCAGCATGTAGTTAAGTCAAAGCCGGTATCGGAATTTAAGAAGTTCCTGGACAAAGACTTTGCCGACGCAAACTATATTTAAAGCAACACAACACAACGTCTTCTTGTCACTGGGTATTATTAGATGAAGCTACACAGGGCAAACTCTACTTGCTGCTTCCAACAAGCAATCAGTAATCAAAAACTCATCCATACAGTAGAGAGGAATATAATATTTTTTAACACCAGAGAAATCGGAGCAAACTGAACAAAGCTTTAGTAAATAAGACTGCTTTAAGCACAAGGATAGTTCTATTTTGCCTTCTAATAATTTTTCCTCAACCCTACTGTGGTATGGATATAACACTTCACCTTATTATCCACGTATTTCACACTTGTAATATATACATTGTGAGGGAAACATGCACTTGGCCGTTCGGTAAACTTTTTTTAGTTCATCAGTTGAGTTGGATGTTGTCTAATTATTTCCCAAGCAATTCAGGCTAGTCAACTATAGTTCTTTAATTCAATTATTTAGCCAATTAGCATTAGATATCAATAAGCGGGTAAATAGCTGTGTTCCCAAAGTAGGTATCCCATATAGGGTTCAATGTGCTAATCTTTAAGTAATAAACATAAATTAACTCACCTTCTATTCATTGTAAAGTAGATAATAGGGTTGTACACCGCATTGCTCATTGCCAACCAGTAACAGAAAATGAAAATAAATTTTAAGTGGGCGTATTGGTAGTACCGCGGTTGAATTCGAAGTACAATGAAGAACAATTGATACGGAAGCCAGCAGACGGCAAAAATGAGCATCACCATGCACATCATTCTGACAGCCTACAAAATCGAAAACGCATATGCGATAATAAACTGAATAAGGAAGTTTATCTCTAAATTTTTCATAAATTAATATCATAACCACTTTTTTGCATTGCTGATACCAGCAAGCGAATTACAAACAATTATTGGCGTAGTATATTAGTCTGTGTTAAGATTTAAAATCTTTATTCATATATTTACTGATTCATTATTTATTTGATATTGTGTGCATCAATAATTTACTGTTAAGAAACTTGCTCGCCCGACTTACGGATATTATAATTTCACTCACATTGTTGAATTATAGCATTCATAAAGACAACTGACTACGCGTACATGTAATTGGGTAGCCGGCATTTTATTTCAGTGTCAAAGAGCACACAAGCAATCATATTAAAATTTCTAAAAACCAACCTAATGCATACGATTTAATATATCTTAGGGGACTTTTCCAACATACATTCTCATCACTAATGGATAAAGCTTTATTGCACCTTCCATGGTAGAACCAATAAATCTCAGTTCATTCGCATTTTCGTTTCGCATGAGGTTTAGCATAAGCGGCGATTATTACAGTGTACCATAATCTATTTTTGATATGAATTACCTAAATTATGGCTATTTTTCTCAAAACCAACATATTCCAAAATTGCGTAGGAAACAAGGGAGTATATTACCAGTATTTCTTAAATGTTCGCATTTTTGACTGGGAATTATTTTTGTCTTAATTTGCAAAGTGTGTGTTATTGATTGTACTAATAGTACTGTGCAGGAAATCTGACAGCTGTTTGTAATACACATTAGAATATTGTGTTTAAAATAGTAATGCAAATTAATTCGGAAAACTATTTCAGGCCCGTTAATCCTAATTGGACGAAAGCATGCTGGTGAGTTGCTAATTTGCTTGTGACGAGGAACGTAGGGTCGTAAGCACTTAGAAAATAACCTCGATCTAATGCGTTTAAATTGTTATAAGTAAGGATTTAAACAAGGCACATTATAATAACATCTTCCTTTACATGCTATGGGTGTGCAGTTTTGCCCCAAAATCAAGCAGCGGATCATCTTCATATGCATTGTTTGTCAAGATTGGATAAGTCCATTCACGTCAAAAACTGCTTTATAAATATTTGGCGGGTAAATATTCAGCTACCAAACACACGAACTCATAAATATACAAGAAGGTAAACACATATGGAAAAGTATCAAAAATCGGTTGAATAAAGTGCGTACAGAATCATTATCATAAGTTGGATCGGCTTCTTCTGACTACAACGACGGAGTACTTGTCTCACTTAGATCGCGAAAAATAAAGGAGAACCGACCGGTGGTAGTCTTTAGTGTGAACATAAAATCGAGATTGCATTTTCCTAGCAGAAGCAGTTGACTGATATTCCGATGAAGTGTTGAAAAGCGGACGACAACTATCAGCCCGCGTTGTAGCAGCCAGTTTCTTAGAATAATGGGTGCATATAGAAAGTCTTGGGCTGTCAAAATCACCCCACGGAACGCAGGTACGTCGGTATAAGTAGAGTAGATAAGTTATAATGCACTTTAAATCTGAGAAGTAAAGTACATCTAGTAAAAGGGACACAGTAACCAAAAAATCAATAGTATAACGCACGTAGGTCAGCAGATGCCCAAAGACTAAATGCATAGTAAGAATACCTAAGGACATCTGGGAGTTTCTTTTACATGAAGTGCATGATAGATCGTAGAACTTTACCACACGTAGGTACTTTTCTGATGGAGCAGATATTAATCCATCATCCTCATTAAACATCTTGAGACACTTTTTAATGTGCTTCGCCTACCTTTCTGCTTTTTGTCTCGATTAAAGGATGGCATAGCTCTTTGTTGTATTAAGGAAAGGCTGACGTGCATTGGAAGTGTAAGTACAATACTAACCCGCCTTTTTGAGCGAACACTCTCCGCTTGTGCCCGGGTAACCTCACCGATTTCTCCATGGAACCAAAGACGTATGGAAATTGGCACATAAGTCGCAGCCAGTATGATGAGAGGCAGCACGTACATTAGAAAAAATAACGCGTAATCGTATCTGCAGTAACGAAAGTGGAAACAGAGAAAAACATTAAATTACAAGTGCTTTTTATGCAGTGCATAATACTTTAGATTGCTTTTCGAACATTTCCCGAATATATGGATGCTAACTAACAAGAAAGCAAGACAACACCATTGTATTTTACCTTATATAATGAAAACGCATAACAAACCTTTAAATATTCTAGGTAGGTTTCATGCATAAACTTCAAAGCAGCCGCCAAACAAGAAAATTTAAATATAAGATGCACTATTCGAGCAGATGCACAGAACGTGTAGATTTGTTCTATACCAGATTGCAGCCAGTATAATTAAAATAATCATAATAAGTTGGGCGTGAAACATAATAAAGAAGCAGTTATTTTCATAAAGCTAACCAGCGTAAATATCCACATTTATACAAACAGCCGCTCTAATGCAACCAGTTAACGACAGTGTAAAATGATTTTGTTTTTATGCTTTATCTTTAGATTATTAGTAATTATAGGCTAAGTAAATATACACTAATTAAGTGTAGCCTTAAGTGCGGCATTTATTTTGCCAATAAGCCACATCATCTTTCTGTTGCCAACAGAAGCGTTCTGCCTAACCATCTTGCACCAAATGTTAACCGCATTACTTGAACGACATTTCAGAATTGATTACATCTGTCCATGCAATAGTAATTCTGTATCACGCCCTGCACCATGCCTTCGTACAAGTACATTACAAAAGGTTGTTATAGGCGTTGTAGACCATTGGGTTCGGGGAGTAATTACAAAATTGACAACCTTATAAATGTATGATTGTTCTCCGGGTTGTCACTTTATATAAACTTCGATATTTTCTCAACGTTATCAACAATGTAGTCAATCTAGGAAGCTTGCACTCTTCTTTCTATTGCGGCTCTACACAATTGGGCACACCACATCCGTACAACATAGTCGGCCCTGCTTTTTGCTGACAATATCAAGATTCTCTCAGTTTCGGTGGGAAGTAGTTACCAGAAAAGCTACTACTCATTAAAGAGGCTTTTTCTCTTGCTTGAGTCATGATGCCGCATATTGGTGATGATCTTCTCGGTAACAATAATAAACTATATTTATTTAGGATTTTCCTTATGGAAGTGATTCATCACAATATAAGTTGAATACATCCGTACACAGCTGTCATTGCCTATTTTCGGAATCAGGTGATCAACTAACCATAACTTCTTCGAACGGTTCCAATACCAAACAGCACTGGCCAGACAACTGTGTTCAATTTCCCTAACGTAAACCAAACTACACAAGTGGCAGTTAGGCATTTATCGTTACTCACGTTCTACATTCTCGAATACTGCAGCATGCTATACGATAATAAAATGACGAGTGAAATAAATGCTGTTCGGCACCTACAGAGATCGTGTGCAAAATTTCTGGTTAGAAAACCACTGCTATCAGGTAACAAATGGATGCAATAACTTCACCACGAACTAATCCGAAATTAATGTTTAAGGCACAACCTGTTACTGCCGTTCAATCTGATACACGTACAACAAAATAACACTGGGATTAAAACATAGCTTAACTCCAAAACTTTGCTATACTCATTTGCACTGAATAGATCAAAAGGTTAGCGGGAACAACCGCTATTAGTGCCTTCTGACGGAATATAGATATCGGTAGATAAAACCTGCTAACCACAACACGTGTTGTGATAATGTGGCAGTATTATTATTTAGACTCACCAATTACTTCAACACAATTTCATAAGCAATGAATTCATATAGAAAAAAGCATTTCGACGAGTTATATCAAGGCTGGCCCAAATATATCTAAGCATAGATATTCGTGGAACTATGTTTTCGACTCAATTAACAACAAAAACTAAATACGTGAAACAAAATAATAATATAATACTTATTTTTGTAACCGTTGAAAGACTATCAATCCTGTTTTGCCAAGCGCTAAGTTCCGCTATTAAAAGTTTCTAGCATCAGAAGAAACAGAAGTACAAATGGCAGGCAAATGCTTTTTTATGAAATAAACCAAGTATATTTCTCTTGTGGATGGAGAGCTTAAGCTAAAGGTTTATCAACCTCACAAAAACGCTTTTCGATCTCCCGGTAACTGAACCAACGTTCATGAAGCTGAGTGCCGCTTTGTGTTTATGTTTTATTCCTGATTATTCAAGTTAGTTTTGGTAACTACGTTAAGCAAAACACGATAGCAATGGGTACTTATGCCACTACATTGTGCGCGTTAGAATGCAGGGTCGGTATTGGCTTTAACTAAAATTATCTTTCACCCGAGTATTTAAATGAATTGAGAAAATAAAGTGCCTAAAATCTGATTACACATTTAAACAATAGAACAATGGTGTATTGAGGTAAAAATAGCAATGTTTAACGAATACCGTGGGATGGAACATACTGCGATAATTAAATTGCATGATCAAGTGAAAAGTGTTTTGTTGGACTTATTCTAGAAGTACGTTCAGTTAAATTTACAAATCATTTCAAAAATCACCCAATACATATTTTTATTATGAACCTACAATTGGATGTGACCGATGTAAGCTTTTCTTACGTCCAGTTTTTGCAATTATTTCACAACTAGTTATACCATTTTCCATTCCTTGCACTTTTAAATTCCTTGGTACCGGCAATTGCAGGCTATACACCCTAGAATTGCGTCTAACATTTATTATAAAACGAATGCACAACAAACGATGTGTCACAAACGGTTACACACTTACATTGCGGAAAATCTCTCTTGCCAGTTGAAATAACACTGTCGCTTGAAACGGTCTTTTTCACTGGTTACCATAACGGTCATTGCAATGGGGTTTCCTGTCAATGTTTCATTGGATATCGCATCACTGATGTTTCGGCCATCTAATGTCAAATCGCCGAATATTAGACCAGGTAGGCCAACAATTAGAGCGGAAAGCCATATTAAGATAATGAAGAAGATCACCGTCATGGAACTGGATCGAGGACGAAGGGGAAACATGATGGCCGTATATCTGAAAAGATCATCAGCAATCTACATATTGAAGTAAAACAGATAAGATGGTTTGACAATTCAATATCTCTTTAAATATAAGAATTGTAAAGCCAAGCTTAAAGAGAAAATTTATTAAAACTAAAATAAATTGACAAACAATTATTAGGTTGTATAATTGCATTAAAGTTTTAGTCGTTTAGTATCAGTATTGTTGGATATTATGTGATATAACTTTCTACTTTAATTCAAAAATGCGATACCTATTTTATGCCCGCCTGCTTAAAATTTAAATGACTGTTACTGCAAATTATTGTGTGTAAATTTGTATTTGTAACCATGCCAAATGTAATTGTGTTATTTTGCTCTTGCAACATTTTTGATGGTAGCAAGATTTCACTCAATATATATATCGTTATAAATGGTGGCGATGGCATATATATCAAAACGATAAATACCATTCCATTACAATCGTTTCAACTTAGCAGTAAAATTTCCGCGCAAGTCGGTATCATTCTTAGTAACAATGACATATTTCTCTACAAATATAATGATATAGTTCCAATGGAATCTGGCAATAAAATTCAGTGTGAGTAGAGCAAAAATGGTTATTTTCTACTTTGTATGTCATCAAAATCAAGTGGGTGGGTTAAGCAAACATATTCTTTTGAAATATGATTTATCGTGCTCACTGAGGAAGCTATCACATGTTTCCGTGAACCAATCAAATTTAACGGGAAAAGTCATTGTAGGAGCAAGAAGGCAATCTTTCAAGGTAGCAATTTAGACTGACCAAAATAAATTTATTAATTAAATAAAGATATTTATATTAACTAAATTTTAGGACATGAAGGAAAACGAACATAAGGTTATTTCATGAGAACTTGATTTGAATGTAACGTGTATATAGTTTTTATTGCGTTTAACCATGTACGTATATTAAATGGGACTATTATATTATCATAAAAAGCCACATATTGACTACATATTTCAACAGATTATCTACTTAAATCATAAATGAAATATGCAGCATGAAGTGCATATATGTCTTGTATTTCACGATGAATTTCTAAGGCACCGGTTTGGTACGTTAACTTGATTAGCGCGCTTCATGAGTCCGGTGCATAACGTGAATATTTTTAGTTAATTTTCACTTAGCGAGATACCGATTTTGCCAGTCTTACAGGGTATTATATTTTAAAACTATACAATGTTTTGCCTTATGTACATACAAACAATAATCATAACTCCTCGAAATTGTTTTCTTAGTGGAAACGCGACATTTGAAAGCAAGGACAATATCACTACTTAAATGAAGATGTTCGGCAGTTGTTACTACTTATGCAAGATTCGCGGCCAGGAAAAGTTTTGGACGCGTGTTAAATCAACTGTCAAATTAGATGAAGTGCGAACACATTCACGGCTTTGTACGTTTCATATAGCTACGAGAGATTGAGCTGTCACTCAAATGCCCGTTACCACTGCTTGTCTCCTCATATTTTTATGAAACGCGTCTAATAGCCGTCATCACAGAATTCCTTTCACAGACGAACAGTTCGCTTTGCTTGGCAGTTTGTCGCTAAGGTTTTATCAACAATCAAAATGACATCATCATCATCGAGTTGTTTTGAAGCAAGTATCCATTAGCGTAACGTGGGAAGTCTCCCTAAGAGTGCTATGAGTATAACGCGCCTGCGCAAGACCGTATGGAAGATGCCTGGTCAAACCGATGAATACAGATGACCATTACCGTCTCCGTAGATATGAAAAAGTGATACTCGGGATTAACAACATATACGTCAATGTTCATGATGTAAAAATAAAGACAGCACTGGAATCCTTGATCTACTCTCGGGTTGAAAACTCAAGAAGCTTTTGCAGGATTACATTAAGCTCAAACTCGAACAAACTCACTGAGTAGTGTATCAATATAAGAGTGACTGATGGGTCAAACAATTATGGTGCACTCCCGTTAGTGCTGCTGAATAGGACGTTCTAATTAAAGTACTCAAGTTTAGTGTCAGTGATGTTCACCACAAAGATTAACTTGCAAGATCAGAACAACATTTAAGTTAAACCGGAGGTCAGATGAGTCTCAACCATATTCCGACAGTCAGTCTTCCTGGAGCCGAGACAAAAACAATTCACATTGATTCTGTCCAAAATGCACAACAGGAAATCGGACGTCTACAGAAGGTAAAACATGTTGAAATCCTACTAGCTGACTAAGGATTATGACCATGCTAATGCAAAAAATCGGGATGAGCTAGTGAGGTCAAATCATTGCTGGTCGACACAACTACTTATTGCCCTAACTAATAGGATTCAATTTAAAGGCTTGACAATCAGATTAACGAAACGCTGAATAAGCTACATGCAAGAAATAGACTAACTAGCCTTAGGCGAATGACAGAGAAAGCCTTTGACACAATCATTGCAAAATTCTATGGGTTACACAAATTGCATAAAAATGGAGTCCTAGTTTGTTCATATAAATTAGCGAAGAACGTGTGGAAGATAAAAATTTTGATTGCCGGATCCGAGCATGGAATCAACAAGGCAGAAATATTCCTTAAAGTGCTGTGGGTTGTCTAGATGGAAGACACTGAACTTATGCTCCCATTTGAAGTCACCGCATTCTGTACTTCAAGCGCTTACGGACTTGATAAAGCACCCATGTTTTAGTAATTTCTGAATCAACTTTGCACGAAAACTTTTAAATTCTGAGATTTATGGGATATTTTTAACCTCAGCATGACACCATATTTCCATTTTGATGAACAGGTATGCCAGCAGCAGAACTGATGCTAATGGGATCACCGATATCTAGATTTATTGCCGAAGCAGTGTAGCATACGTTAAAGCGCTTTATACTGCTATCCATCAGTATAGATTTTTGGGTCCAAATGTGCAAGACACATTTGTTTCGTTAAACGAAGATAATACAGGTGAGGCATGAATTGCTCAACAGCATGCTCGATAATTTCAAATTTACAAAACAAAAAAGCATGACAATTAATACCACATGTATATATATTGGTCAAATAGAACAATGTCGGGGACTGCAAACATAAGTAAAACGGAATAAAATGCTGACAGATCAGATAATAAGCTACCGCACCAGCCAAAAAATTAACCACATAAAGAGCTGGAAAAACGAAATAATAAGTAGCTGAAACACACAAAGTAAAATAAGATTGAGACAGTTAGAATGAAACCGAATTAATCAAATTTATAAAACAGATTTTGTTGGATGTATGGTCGATGTTTGTGAGTAGTGTAAAGTTCGAAGAAATTAGAAGCCACGATTAAAATTCATGCACAATAATATGCCTTGAGGGAGAGTCGAACCCCGGTCCACGAATTTCCGGTCCGCTGCTCTACCACCTGAGACACCGAGGGCTGACGATTAGGTGCGCAATATATAACACATGTATTCTGCTTGGTGCGCGACGTGTTGCCAATAAGCTCACAGTACCTGTCCTGATGTTGCAGATTGGATCACTTACACGTCACTTCCCAATAGACCGAAGTTCCTGACATTCAGACGTCCAATGGGCGATGGTAGCTTAAAGGTGGATGTTTGTTAGTATTGTAAAGTACGAAGAAATTAGAAGCCACGATTAAAATTCACGCCCAAATATATGCCTTGACGGACAGTCGAACCCCGGTCCACGAATTTCCGGTCCGCTGCTCCACCACCTGAGATACCGAGGGCTGACGATTAGGTGCGCACATTTTAACACATGTCTTCGGCTTGGTGCGCGAGGTGTTGCCAATAAGCTCACAGTACCTGTCAAGATGTTGCAGATTGGCTCACTTACACGTCACTTCCCAATGGACCTACGTTCCTGACATTCAGACGTCCAATTGGCGATGGTAGATTAATGGAGGATGTATGTGAGTAGTGTAAATTTCGAAGAAATTAGAAGCCACGATTAAAATTCATGCACAATAATATGCCTGGAAGGGGAGTCGAACCCCGGTCCACGAATTTCCGGTCCGATGCTATACCTCCTGAGATACCGTGGGCTGACGACTGGGTGCGCAAATTTTAACACATGTCTTCGGCTTGGTGCGCGAGGTGTTGCCAATAAGCTTACTGTACCTGTCAAGATGTTGCAGATTGGCTCACTTACACGTCACTTCCCAATGGACCTACGTTCCTGACATTCAGACGTCCATTGGGCGACGGTAGATTAATGGAGGATGTATGTGAGTAGTGTAATTCCGAAGAAATTAGAAGCCACGATTAAAATTCACGCACAATAATATGGCTGGAAGGGGAGTCGAACCCCGGTCCACGAATTTCCTTTCCGATGCTCTACCTCCTGGGATACCGTGGGCTGACGATTAGTTGCGCAAATTTTAACACATGTCTTCGGCTTGGTGCGCGAGGTGTTGCGAATAAGCTCACGGTAATGACCTGATTATGCAAATTGCCTCACTCGCGAATCACTTCTCAATAGACCGAAGATTCTGACATACAGACGTCCAATGGGCGATGGGTGATTAATGGTGGTTGTTTGTAAGTAGTGTATATTTTGAAGCATGTAAAAGCCACGATTTATATTCAAGCGCTACTCACAAACGTCCACCATTAATCTACCATCTCCCATTGGACGTCTGCATGTCAGGAACTTCGGTCTATTGGGAAGTGACGGGGGAATGAGGCAATCTGCATCATCAGGACATACAGTGTGCTTATTGGCAACGCGTCGCGCACCAAGCCGAAGACTTGTGTTAAATTTGCGCACCTAATCGTCAGCCCACGGCATCTCAGGTGGTGGAGCAGCGGACCGGAAATCCGTGGAACGGGGTTCGACTCCCTGTCAAGGCATAATATTGTGCAAGAATTCGATTAGTGGCTTCTACTTTCTTCGAACTTTAAACTATTCACATACATCCACCATTAATCACCCATCGCCCATTGGACGTCTGAATGTCAGGAACGTAGGTCCATTGGGAAGTGACGTGTAAGTGAGCCAATCTGCAACATCAGGACATGTACTGTGAG